GTACGCCGGCCTCATCTGTGCCATGTGAGCATGTGTTCTCCACAGCAGGGGAAATAGCGTGGCATATGCCAGACTGCTATTTGTGGACTTTAGCTCAGCCTTTAATACAATTCGTCCAGACATATTGCTGAAGAAGCTGGTTCGGTTGAATGTGAAGTAAACACTTATATATGTTATAAGTTTAGCTTAAAAATATGTGTCGCAGACAGACAGACTTTGACTATAAACCTCACTCTGAGCCTTGCAATATGACCGCCAGTTGAACCTTATGAGGTGACTTTAATTGGAACTGCCTTGGCAACAGAAAATACTGTTAACACCTTTTGTGAACATAGACCACACAAGTACGTAGGCGCGTTTGGTGGCTAGACTGTAGTTTTACACTTACAGCAGTTTTCCATCCAGAACATTAAGATAACTCCTGAGAAATGTAAAAGCATCTATCATCATGTTTTATGAGAACACGATTTCAGGAATACCGGAGCATGAAAATAATCAAAAAACCAAGGACACTCAAACCGACATACCGAAACCGAAAAGGTGATGCCCATAACAGGCAAAGATAATACCCATAAGGAGATACGCACCGCTGAGAAGATATAACATTCGTGTAGGGAATTTGTTGGAAGCGCATTTGTGTCTTGACCACAACACTTGTTTGTTTCACACTTGTGCCCTGAACGTTCAGTAAAACGTCTTGCAAGAGCTTCTCCATTTCCAGCCTCTGATTTTCGCACCTCAACTCAGCCCGAATCAAACGAACACGCGGAGGACCTGGGGGGGGAAGCGGAGGACGGTGAAGGGATCCCGCCGTGTCCACCACAGCACGCTCCCCCGGCTTGCACGCCTCCAACAAATGTCAATCCATTTCTTATTAGGTGGTACCACTCCTTCTTATCCCAAAGACCACAGCGTGTGAGGTTTAACACTATATTGTCAGATGAGGTCATGAGCAACACGGGGGCTTCACAGGGCTGCGTGAGTTAGCTCTCAACCAAATCAGTTTGTCATAACATTTTCAGATGATACAGCTATCCTTAGTCTGCTCACGAGGGACTCTGGCATTAGTAGCCACTGTGATGGGATTGACATATTTGTTGACTGGTGTAATAAGATAAGATAAGATAAGATAAGATAAGATAAGATAAGATAACTTTATTTGTCCCACACTGGGGAAATTTGCAGTCTACAGCAGCAAAATTGGGGGCGTGGAGTAAAGTGTTTCATTGCACAAAATAAATGAGCACCATCTCAGCATAAATGTGGAAAAAACTGACGAAATGGTGTTTGACCCTAAATCAATTGGAAACCATAGCCCCATCTCGATAAATGGCACGAACATCAGGTGACCTCCTCTTACAAATACATGGGGATTTATATGGGTTGTGGGCTTAACTGGCATGTATCAAATGTCTGTTCGAAGATCCATCAATACCTTCATTTTTTGCGACGTCTGAGGATATTTGGAGTCGGCAGAAGCATTCTGTTGATCTTTTATGGAGCAACCATTGAGTCAGACCTGCGCTTTGGAATAACCAGTTGGTCTGGGAACCTAAATGTTAAATCCAAGACTCAGATAACCAGCTTGGTTAAGACAGCAGCGAAGGTAATCGGGCAGCCCCCACCCTCTGCTCGACAGGACATATATGTGCAGTCCGTTATTTAACAGGCCGACATTTTAGACAATCCTTCCCATGTGCTACACTCCCAATTCGAGCTCCTAAACTCAGGAAGGAGGTATAGGACACTTCTCTGCAAATTAAACTGGTATAAAAACTCATTCATACCGCAGGCTATCATCTTAATCAATAAAAAATTAGAGGGAGGCAGACAGACAAGCGGGAGGACATGAGGGCAGTGGGGGGAGGGGGTGCATATGACGGTAATGTAGTGTCCAATGTGTGTGAAGTATATATTTTCCTGTATAGACCAGTTTCAGTGTTTGCAAACAACAGTGACATCATGAAGATGTGCGCGCATCTCGGAGGCAAAAGCACTCTTCGGTGAACAGAGTCCGCTCACGCACCACTGCCTGTATTTGAGAAATACCCCTAGCGTTTTCACACGCGAGACTCTCAAAGCCTTCAAGAGTCTTGTTGCTTATAATCATGTGGTATGTGGTCATGTTCAGTCAGTTCTTTTTCATCAAGCTGCTGAAAACTGTGACTTTTGTTTCCTGAAAGCCGATGTCTTGCCTCGTCAAAGACAGGGACAAAAGTCTCAGTGTTATCATGCATGGGTATGTGTGAATAAGAAGACTGGCTCCGTACTGACCGCTAACTGCACATGCATGGCTGGGGAAGTAGGTGTCTTCAAATTTGAATTATTGACAATCTACCGTATTGGCCCGAATATAAGACGGTGTTTTTTTGCATTGAAATAAGACTGAAAAAGTGGGGGTCGTCTTATATTCGGGGTCTAGACATTATACCCATTTATGACGCTAGATCGCGCCAGATACATTTGAAGCAAACGCTGAACTTGACTGCCCAGGCCAAAGTGAACCCCTGTCACAAGAATAAAAATAAAAATAGCGATAGCACGAAGAAGAAAAATAAAAAAATCGCGGTAATAAAGAAAAGAGAAGAAAATAATAGAAGAGATAACAGAAAATGGAGAAACGTAGCGACAATCTGGAAAAAAGTGGGTCGAAGATCGGCCAGGTTAAACGGCAGCTGAGGAGAAGTTATGAGGGAATTTACATTTAAAAAACCAGAAGCCATTCATTTACGAATGTGATTGCACTTTAGTTTACACAGTGGCGGACCCTCAGGGCCAGCAAGGCCTTCTCTGCTGGCCTAAACATTATCAGAAAAGTAAATTTATTTTTCTGAGAAGAACATTAATTTGTTATTTTATTTTCATAAATATGTAAACAAAATTATTCTCTGTATTCTTTACGTCATATCATTTCCACTTAGTCGAGTTGCTTTCAATGTTATTTTAAATAACATTGAAAGCCACTCGATAAATAACTTATTTATTATGGTAGAGTTTTTAACCAATCATATTTCAGATAGCTTGTGCTGCCAGGTAAATTAAACTTGCTCGGGGCCTTCAGATTAAACAGAGCAGGCCCCTGTGCGCTGTAAGTGAACGGGCACAGTCAGGTTTCAATAGCCAATCAGATCACGAGTGATCTGACTCGTCTGCGTACTAGGGCTAGCTAGAAGGCCTTACGTCGAGACTGGCCGTGCGCGTTCGGTGATTGGATTAGCGCCGTTTCTGTTTACTGAGAATTGTATGCTGACTTGTTCAATAAAGATTTAAAAAAAAAAAAAAGATTGGATTAGCGCCTGCTAGAGCTAACACTCGTATTTTAACCCA